TGGCCCCGCCCACGCCCGGCCGCACCCGACACACCCGCTGGCCCCGCCCACGCCTGGCACCTGAGGATGCAGCAGTTTGCCAGCACGTGCACCTCGGGGAAGGCCCCGGCGGCGGCGTTCTGCTGGAGGAAGTGGACAGCCTCCGCCTGGTACCTGCAGTGGAAGATGGAGATGAGCCCCTCCCACCAGCCCAGCCCCGCAGGCCGGCCCCACCCAGCCAGGCCCCGAGGACTTGCTCCCTCCCCCCTTCACTGCTGCTTCCTTCGCAGAATCACAGATGTGGGTGACAGCAACTGAGGTGTCAGCAAGGCAGCGAGGGCTGGCTTTGTGCCTTGGGCTGGCTCTGTGCCAGGCCCTGCCCCCAGATGCTTCCTAAGGACCTTTTCATTTAATGCTCTCGGTGACCATTTGTGATAGATGCTTCCAGAACAGGATAGGAGTGGTTTTTTTCCTGTGGACTTGGGAACTGCAGAGAATGCTGCATTTGAGAGGCCTGCCTGCCCGTCCCCCGCAGTGAAGGAAGAGGAGGGAGGGGAGGCTAGTGCTCCAGAGCCGGGCTGGCCCCCCACCCAGAGAGTCCGGGTGAGGCCTGGGGGTGCTGAGCTCTCGGGAAGGGGAGGCTGGCACCCCACACCTGGGCTGGGTCACTGAAGCTGCCCCAGAGCAGGGAGAGGGTGAGGGACAGCACACTGCTCTCCAAAGGCAGGAAAAAAGAGGTGCCCGCACCTGTCCCAAGAACATGGATCAATCTGGCCACCCAGCCATATTTTCTTAAACATTTAAAACCTGGCTGATTTCACCGAAAAATCCCCATGTCTGGTTTCTCTTAAGTAACCTGCTTCATGTCTGCCGGTAATGGAGCCCGTCCCAGGTGAACACAGCTACTCTGAAGACCCCAGAGAGAGGAGCCTCGTGATGGGGTCTACACAGTGCTTCATCTGAAACAGGAGCAGCCCACAATACTGACTCCAGCCCCAGCCCAGCAGGAAAGAGGCAGGGTCCCCACCCAAACCCTGAGGCCGGGGCAGAGCTGGGTGTGTGGCTCAGGGGTCTGATGGGAAAAGCAAAGGAACCGGGGAGGCGGGTAATCTACCAGGTCCCTGGCCAGGATCGGTAACTGAGATAACATTTTGATGAAATATTTTTAAAAATCAAAATCAGTCCAAAACATCCATCAGGAGCAAAACACCAAATTTTAAATAAAGACAGAATTCGACCCGGTACGTTTATGACTCCCCTCCTGGGCTTCCCCCTAATCCCAGTCCTGCTGGGAGCCACAGCCCCACGTGGTGTTTAAAGGTCAATTAATTAAAAGTAAAATAAAATTACTTAATAATTAAATAAATTAAAAGTAAATAAAATTTAGCTGGTCCCTCCGTGGAACCAGCTCGATAGCCACACGAGGCCAGAGCACCATGTCAGATGATGCTGCCATGGGGCATTTCCAGAGCCAGACTGGGAGCACCCAAAGCCAATGCTAGAACCTTCCCCTGCTTCAGGAACTGGCCAAGCACCTGGTAGCCAGTGGCTGGAGGCTTGGTCAGACTCTAACTGGGGTTCGATGGACCCAGCCACCCATGCCTCCTTCTGTGGGCAAGGACCACCTTTTCACTTACCTTTTCAGAAACTCTGAAAATGTTTCCAGAACCATCGCTTGCACCTGGCTAGTGATAGGTAGTCCCATGGGTTGTACTGCATTCATGCTTTCTTCCAGCAGCTGTCAGTCAAAGCAAGTGGGCTCTCAGGGGGACCCAGGAGTCACAGAGCCAGTGGACCCTAGGAGAATGTGTCCCCCCCCAACTTTGTGCCTGACACAGCTGTCCTTGCAGGAAAGGCTGGTGTGCACAGGCCACCCCACCTGTATCACTCTGCAGAGGCACAGAGCAGATGCCTCCCGCCAGGCCCTCACTACCCCTCCCAGACCCCCACCATCTTGCCAGCCCTCTCTCCTTTGAACCCTCCACCGTGTCCTGCCATGAGCCAGCCCGCACAACATCCTCCTCTCCACGCATGGCTAGGCTTCTCCCGTTTAGCCCGGAGGCTGCCCCAGCCCCACCTGAAGCTGCCAACTCCCCACCTGACACTGAACAGTGCTGCTTGGTGTAAAGGCATGAGGACGCTTAACATCACCTCCTTTTCTCCCTCCAGCCCTGAGCAGTCAAGAGGAGCAATAGAAACCCCCAGCACCAAATCCTCTAGAAAAAAAAGCCCCCGCCCCCCGCCACCACCACCACACACACTGGTGGCCTCTCCTCCTCCTTGGCCAAACATCCTTCACCCCAGTGGGCTGCTCGACCCTCTCCCTGAGGCGTCCCCAGACACCGGTCCCAGTGCAGGTCCTACCTGAGGTCTGAGCAGGCTCGTGAGCCGAGACATTCCAGGAAGAGGCCTCTCCCCAGAACATACACCCTGCAGCCCTGCACTGGGGCCCCACTTGCCTGTGCCTGTCGCCCTCAGACACTGACGCTTCGATGCCCGGAGCCCCACCCTCCACCGTGCCACCCATCCTTGCTGCACACGTGCCCCGCCACCCATCACCCATCGCCCCCCAGACCCCCGTCCTTCCAGGCCCCCTCCCAACCAGGCCGGGCACTCAGGAAGGGGCCAGGGACCCCAAGTGGCAGGCTGGGAAGGTTCGGACCTGGAAGATTTCAAGAAACGTTGGGTGGGAACACTGGGCCCACTTTTTCCGATCCCAGATCAGGACTCTTTCTAGATGCTTTTCCAACTCTTCCTGCCCAGAAAACAGTAAAAGCAACTTCTATCCCCACACTCCTCTCTGCAGCACATCAGGTCCATCCCCGACTGAGGACAGGAGGGTGACACCCAGAGCCAGCCCAGGGACCGTCGACCAGCGGCCTGAAATCCTCCCCCAGGGACCCAGGTCCAAGTAAACCCCCTCTTTCACGGCCTCCAGCCCTCCGTCTGTTACAGGTGGTCTGTGAAGCACCTTCCAGATACACCGTCCTCCTCGTTCCTGGCAGGTCCTGCCCCGTGCCCCAGCCGCTCGTTCACGGCCTGGGGGGGAGGGGGGACGACAAGCAGTTACCACTACCAGGCAGCCAAAGCCCTTCCGTGGGCAAGACCTAAGAGGGGCGCCCGGAGACCCACAGCCTGGGGGGTGCCAGGGAGACCCGGGGTACTGGGGACCAGCCCCTGGCCAAAAACCTAAGTGTGACCTCTCAGGCCCGACCACAGGCAACGACAAAGGCTGTCTCTGGCAGGTTCCCAGGGGAGGCTGCCCTCCTCGCCCGGGCTTGGGGCACAGTCAGCGCCATGCGGTCTGGGGGGCCTCAGGCTGGCTGTCCCCTGCTCCCACGCAGGTCTCCCTCCTAGCCCAGGCACCTCCATCCAGAGGCCTGCTTACTGGGGGCCCTGGGCAGGCCGAGGCCTCCTTGTTTGGGGAAGGGGACAGCCTAGAAGCCAATTTTCTCCACCGACTCAGCACTCAGTACTTTCCCATGCCTAGCCCTGTCCCTGTCACGCCCTGCCCTCGTCCACCAAGCAGCAGGGAGCTCTGTCTGGCCACCTGGGCCGGGAGAGGATCCTGACGCCACGTCCAGCTGATGTTAAACCTCGCCTGGCCCGGGTGCCGGGGATGGGATGGGCACCGTTCCCGCTAAGCCTCTTGCCAGACACAGAAGGAAGCCTACATGGTCACGTTCGTTCTGGCCACCTGTCCGAACGGACCACTCGACACCCAGCACAGCCCTTGACGGGTGGGGTGTGGAAGAGCAGGAAATGCTAAGCCCTGTCTTCCTTCATTCAGCCCAGACTGCAACTCCACAGTTTCAGGGGAACCGTGAAGGACAGGGGGCCTCAAAACCCAGGTGCTTCAAGGAGACAGAGCCCTGAGTTTGCAACCAAGGAAAAGCCTAAGCATTTATATACCAGTTACTGGAAAGTTCCAGCAAAATCGATACTGATTCTTTACTGCACTGAGAAACTAAGCTTTCTCAGTCTGTTAGCTAAGAAAGGCAGAGAGCTTCCTTCCCTGTATCCCAAACATCTCTTCCACCGGTCCCCGTGACTCTTGACACGTCTGTACCAAGACCAGGAGCGCTGGTACAGGAAATCACGTTGGTAAAAATGATCACAGTAGGAGATTGTAATGTCCCCTTGAGTCCTCACTGTGTCTGCCGTGGATTAACCACGTGCACCCATCTTGGGGCAGCTGGCTTTCCGCCTGAGGCTCACTGGCCCTGCCCTGTAGCCACTAGAATGGAAGAAGCCAGACCGCCCTCACTGGTCAAGGCAGCGACCTCCGGTCGGGTGCTCTCCCTACAGGCCCGTTAGACGATGGTCCTCCCACCGCAGAGCCACGGCCACTGTTACTTCCCATGTGACAGTGCGCAAGGGCCAGAATCAACGCACCAGCACCCCCCAGCCCCACCCCCCAGGCCCCACCCTGGCCCAGCCCCTCGCCTGCTGTGCCCCAGATGCCGGACGAGGAGGCCTCTGGGTGACAGATACTCCTGGGTCCATTTACCTGGATCAGCCCCACCAGCTTCTTCTGCATTTGGGACATCCAGGTAACAAACATTACGGGGTCCAAGAGGTGCCCGACCGTGGGCTGCTGAGAGGTCAGAGGTGCTTTTGCAAGTGTCTCCCTATTGGGTTGGAAGGAGCCATGAGGGGCAAAGAGCTGAGCTGGGGCCGGGGTGTGGAGGACAGCTCGGCGCTAAGGGCAGTGGACCCGAGGCTGGGCCTCGCCCCCTCCCCAGCCTGTGCTGCCCGCCCCCCACCCCTGCACAAGGCCCAGTGACTGGAGAGGGCAGCCGGGGTGAGAAATGGGAGCAAGAGGCTCTGTTGGTGTAGACAAGGCTCAGTGGTCACACACACACACACACCCTAACGCGCTAACACACCCATACACATACTACACGACAGACACCCTGGCACGCACTAACACACGTGTGTGCACGCGCTGTCCCCAAGGCCAGCTGTGTCCACCCTTCTCCGACCACCAGTCCCGCCCAGGTGGCCCCTCAAAGTCTCTCTGTTGATCACAGCCCTGGCCTGAGGACCCTCACCCAGAGCAGTGGCCTCACCCAGCACCCCAAGGTCCCCAGGAGGACTCACCCCGGACGCCCAAACAAGTTCGTCTTGCCCCAGGTGTACAGGACCTGAGAGCTTTTCAAGTTGGTGCCGCAGGAGCGCGTGAGCTCGGAGAGGCGGCTGAGGAGCACCTCCTGGAAGTATGTCCTATAGAACCCCCAGAGGCAGGTCCCCAACCGGCTAGCCCGCGAGGACCCCAGGCCCTGTCTCACAGCCTTGTCTAGCTTCTCCAGGTATGGGTCCGGCTGGTCCTTGGGGCCCAGGGTGGGCACTCGGGCCTCAGCATCATTTCTCAGCAGCTTCTCCAGCTGACCAGCCCACGGGGCAACTCCACCGTCCTGGAGAGCACCAGCCTCTCGGCTCTGGTGCTTGTCCTGTGTCCACCCCACAGTGGTCAGCACTGCCTGGAGCTTCAGCTCCAGCTCCTGGCTGGGCCCAGTGCCCTCCAGAGCCTGCTGGACGACCTGCCACATGCTCTGGGCCACAGCCTGGTACTGGGGGCCACAGTCCTGCCCTTCCTCCGCCAACGTCGAGATGCTCTGGTAGGCCTCCAGGAACTGCCCCTCCTGGACCAACTCGAAGAAGCCTGGAAGAAAGGAACCCGAAAGGATGGCTCAGCAGGGGGCTTGAAAGACCCGGAGATCCAGGGAGGGGGAGGGGTGCCTGCCCTGGACCCTTCACTGTAATTTCTGACAGGAGTAGGGTGGAGATGGGCTGAGCTGTACGGAACTCATCCATCAGAGGAACCAGCAAGAAGACCAGGTGGAGGGTTCAAGAGCCTTTGGGAACAAAGTTCCTTGTGGCCAGTCAGGATCAGAAGGCCACAGGTTTGTTACGATGTTTGCAAAAGACCAGTAGGCTTTCCACTGTGCCACCTTTGGAATAGAAAAACGTAACACCCAGCTGTAAGCTCCCAGGGCTATGCATGGTCCATGCCTTCATCAGCTGTAGGTTTGTTAACCCAACATGGAGACAGCAAGGCACTTTCCCCACCAGAGGCACAGAGAGGGAGGCCCAGCAGAGTTAGTAGAAAATTTCTAGCAAGGGGTTCTCAGAAGGAATGCATGTCAGGACCACCTGGAGGGCTCATTCCAGCCCAGATTGGAATGTGCATTTCTTTTTTTAGTTTTTTTTGTTTTTTAAGATTTTATTTATTTATTTGACAGAGAGAGACACAACGAGAGAGGGAACACAAGCAGGGGGAGTGGGAGAGAGAGAAGCAGGCTTCCCGCAGAGCAGGGAGCCCGATGCGGGGCTCGATCCCAGGACCCTGGGATCATGACCTGAGCCGAAGGCAGACGCTTAACGACTGAGCCACCCAGGCGCCCCTGTTTATTTATTTTTAAGATTTATTTATTTATTTGACAGACACAACGAGAGAGGGAACACAAGCAGGGGGAGTGGGAGAGGGAGAAGCAGGCTTCCCGCGGAGCAGGGAGCCCGATGCGGGCCTCGATCCCAGGACCCCTGTGATCATGACCTGAGCGGAAGGCAGACACTTAACGACTGAGCCGCCCAGGCGCCCCTGGAATGTGCATTTCTGACCTGTTCCCAGGAGGTGCTAATGGTGCTGGACCTCCTGCTGTGCCCGGAGGGAGAGATGGAAAGGGAAGGATTCTGCTTTGTATCCCAGAGGAGCCTCAGCAAGACTCTCCAGCCTGTAGCTGCAGGAGGCAGGCGCCAGCGAGACTCCAAACCAAAAGAGGAATTGGTGGTCAGGGTTGTCCAAAGCACTTGAGCACTTGGACACCAGTTCTTCTGGACTTCAACTTGAAAGGGCATTTTGAACTTTAACTTCTCCTGGAAATTTCAAAATGAGAGGGCAGTTATATTTCAAGTTGGGGCTCAGAGTGCCCTTCTGTTGTCAAGGGCAAATGCATGTCCTCCCCTTTCCTATTCCTCCTTTCCGACAGCTTTGGAATGTACATGTGGATGCCAGGACCTGGGCAGCCATCCTGGGCCATGAGACAGGAACACCATATGGAGGATAGTGGAGGAGCACAATGGAAAGGTCTGGGTCTCTGAGCACTGAGGTGTCCTGAACCACCTACTCAAATCTTCCATGAGAGAAGCAAATTTTATCTTGCTTCATCTTAAGCCACTAGTTCGTTGGGTCTCTCAGTGAAAGCAGCTGAACTTCTAATAATACAAAGAATTGAGGAGTGGAGTGTGGGATGGAAATTATTTTGAACCAAAATAGGACAGCCTTCCATGGCATGTAACTATTTTGAGGGTGAAGAGTCCCTATCCACTTCTCATAGATAGCTCCTTGTTGATAGTAATTAATTAGATCACACTTAAAACTAGGAACTGTACGTGCTGGAACCTCCATGGTTTTACCAGACGCAGGGCTGCTCGGACATCATTCCCCTTCCTTCCAGAGCTGCACCGTCCAGCAGGGCAGCCTCAAGCCACACGTGGCTACTGAGCCCTTGAAATGTCAAAACTGAGCTGTGCTGTCAGTGTAGACCACACACCAGATTTCAAAGACTTAGCGGGGGAAAAAAAAAAGAATGTGAAATATCTTAATTCTAATATTGATGGCATGTTGAAACATGTTGAAATACTACATCAGCTACATTGGGCTAGATAAAATATTTTACTAAAATTAATTTCACCTATTTCTTTTTATATTTTAACTGTGATTCCTGAAAACGGCTCCCACTCTATTTCCCTGGGCAGCACTGACTACTCCAGAGCACGCTTGCCCCTCTCCCTCCAACAAGGAGCTCCTGTTTATCCTGCACTAACCTGGCTGTTTTCTGGGTAGGGGGCCGTCATCCCCCTACCCACAAACAGAAGAGCTGCCCTTACAAAGTCCTGAGGTCTCCCGGGCTTCCTACAAACATGGCTGCGTTGGCACCATTTCTTTAGCAAAGATACTGGGGGCTGGGTTAAGCAGGCAAAGGCAGACATGGGGGGTCCACTGTTGCGTGCCCCCCGCCCCATGCAGGCCCATCGAGCTATGCAGAGTGTGGCCGCTCCCGACCGCCTGACCATCTCTTGGCATCACAGGCCAGCAACACGTGTGGCCTGAGGAAAAAAGTGAAACGCACCTGAAAAGTGACCATCCTGGCAAGGCTGGTCCGGTGTCACCAGGCACAGGGCTAGTGAGGATGCAGGAGACCCTCAAAGATCCCATCACCTGTGAAGCAACTGATAAGCACTTGTCCCCTCTTGGGTGACAATGCCAGATGCCAGAGATAAAAAGGCAGCTGGTGACACCTCATCCCCCCCATGACCCCACACTCCTATTGCAATTCTGCAACTTCCCACCGACCTCAGGGAAAATCTGAAGCGTTTTCTCTTCGGGAAAACACGCCCTAGGTTATAAACGTACCAGCTCCGCCCACAAACCCACTGCGGACCAGAGCCTTAAGCAGCCCAGCCCCAGCCCTGCTGTTCCACGCAAGGCCATTTATCGAGCTTTTCTGGGCGCAGACCCGTGCTGGCTCATGGCGACACAAATAAGACACTGCACACACAGCCGCACCTCCATCCCAGGCCCCTCTTCTCTCCCTCCTACTGCCCTAGGGCCTGGGGCACAAGTAGCAGCCAGCTCTGCCGGCCTAGACTTGAACCGTGACCTCCTCACCTGCTGCGGGTCCCTGGGCAAAGGGCTCCACCCCCGGGCCGTGGTTTCGTCGGCTTTGAAACGGCGAGGTGTGTCTCACAGGCGTGATGACTGTGGGCTGCTTCGCTCTGCTTTGGTCCTTCTCTTGCTCCCCCGCACTGCGTCAGGGCCCCCGTGGGCTCAGCAGCACCCCCAGCCCCGTGACAGCCCGCTGCGTGGTGGCCGGTGGTGGTCAGCGAGCCAGCCCCGCTCACGTGGGGTCCCCCAGGCATGGGAAGGAGGCATCTTCCCACCGTGCCTGGTCCCCTCCAGGCGCCCAGAGCGACATCCAGGAGGCTGGCGTATGCAGTACATATTAAACAAAAGGATAAATACGCGAGCAAAAAAAATGAAGGAACAGGACAAAGGCTCCTGCCGGATATAAACGTGAGACCCAGGGGACGCCTGGGTGGCTCAGTTGGTTAAGCATCTACCTTCCACTCAAGTCATGATCCCAGGGTCCTGGGATTGAGCCCCGCATCGGGCTCCCTGATTAGCGAGGAGCCTGCTTCTCCCTCTGCCTGCTGCTCCCCCTGCTCATGCTCTCTCTTGCTCACTCTCTCTCAAGCAAATAAATAAATAAACAAATATTTAAAAGAAATCTATAAGGCGAGACCCATACCTTTGGAAGTTTCTGTCAGATGAACAACGTTTTGGGGTTCTTTATTTCTGTGAAATACTCCCAGAAACTTTGCAATCTTCCTTCTCGGCTTTGGAGGATGGCCTTTGGGCTGTTGCCTCGGGTGCCCCTGAGCCTCACTGGGCAGGATTTGTTGGTGTTCGCTGCCTGCTTTTCCTTTCAGCCTGGGTTTCTTCTTGCCGCAGCAGCCCTTTCTTTTCACCTGGTCCATCTCTCTGCCTTTGTGCCGGACAGCAGCCTGGCCCCACAAACATCCTCTCAAGGTCTGCACGTCATGGGGTTTTATCTATGTCCGCTGAACAGTAGAAATAAATGGGAGGAAGCTGGTGACGGCCAGAGAAATTTCCTCTGCATCTAAAAATATAGGTGTTGGGACACCTGGGTGGCTCAGTCGTTAAGCGTCTGCCTTCAGTTCAGGTCATGATCCCGGGGTCCTGGGATCGAGCCCCACAGTGGGCTCCCCGCTTGGCAGAAAGCCTGCTTCTCCCTCTCCCTCTGCCTGCCCCTGCCTCTGCTTGTGCGCTCTCCCTCAAATAAATAAATAAATCTTTTTTTAAAAAATGTGGAACCCTTCTCAAATTTGTGTGTCATCGTCATGCAGGGGCCGTGCTAATCTTCTCTGTATCATTGCACTTTTAGTATAAGTGCTGCTGAACTGAGAACTCTTTTTTTTATTATGGTAAAACATGCACAACACAAAAGTTACCATTCTAATCATCGGTAAGTGTGCCGTTCAGTGGTGTGGAGTAATACCCATTAACTAACTTGTGCAGTCGTCACCACCATCCGTCTCCAGAACTTTTTGGTCATTGCAAACAAAAACTGTCCCGATTAAACAGGAACCCCAATCCCCCCTGCCCCAGCCCCTGGTGCCCGCCACCCTACTTTCTGTCTCTGTGACTCTGACCCTTCTAGGGACCTCACAGCAGTGGAATCATGTGGTATTTGTCCTTGTGTGACTGTCCTCGAGCTTCAACCGTGTTGTAGCGGAGTTTCCTTCCTTTTTAAGGCTGAGTAATACCCCCCCCCCATGTGCACAGACCTCTCCTCTGTTTAAGCACTCATGTGTCGATGGACACTTGGGCTGCTTCCACCTTTTGGCTCCTGCTCTGAACATGGGCGTGCAAATGTCTGTTCAAGTCCCTGCTTTCAGTCTCTGGCTGTGGTTTCGTTTTCACTGACAAAGGCATGATCACCGCTGTGGTTCTTGAAAGCTTCTCTCTCCTTGGAAGCACTCACTGCCCAGGCCGGTGGTTGGCAGCTTGCGGGGTGCAATTCTGTTGGCCACACACCCCCTTAGCTGCAGCCTCCTCTCTCTCCCGGCTTCACAGCATGACTTCCAGAAGCACTGGATGTCTCCACACTCTAGTGGCCAAGGGCGGGCCACCAAAATGGCATGTTGATTATTTTATTTTTATTTTATTTTTTTTTTAAGATTTTATTTATTTATTTGAGAGAGAGAGAATGAGAGAGAGCACATGAGAGGGGGGAGGGTCAGAGGAAGAAGCAGACTCCCTGCCGAGCAGGGAGCCTGATGTGGGACTCGATCCAGGGACTCCAGGATCATGACCTGAGCCGAAGGCAGTCGCTTAACCAACTGAGCCACCCAGGCGCCCCTGGCATGTTGATTATTTTAAATGGAAGCTACTTGGGAAGGTCCCTCAGACCCCCGTCTGTCCCCTGAAAGCAGGCAGTAAGTCTCCCGCATGAAAGGCAGCCTGTCAGTAAGTAAAAAGACATCCCCGTCACCAGAGATCGGAAATTCAGAGCCAAGAAGGCCGTATAAACAGCCATGTTACTTTTTGCTAATTTCCTAGTTCGGTCCAAATTCTGCTTAGAATTCCTTACGAGGCAAAGCTCCCAAACACCTCTTTTCTTTATACTGACAATTCCTCACAAATTGAGTGTTTCTTTGTCCAAAATGTATGAAAACCCCCTGTCTTGGTCACTTATTTAGGTCTCAGTTTTATCAGGCCTCTGTGCACACAGAACAAAACTTTGGGTTTTTTTCTCCTGTCGATCTGTCTCATGTCTCTTTAATTATCCGTCCAGCTGGAAGCCGTGAGGGTGGAGAAGAATTTTTCCTCCCCTACAACACACCTCCCTCCAAATCCACTCCCCCACCAAGGCAGCGGGGTCCCATCTTTCTTCGAACCAGGCTCCACAGCACAATCCCTCAGGCCTTGTCATGAGGGACTCCATTCGGCATTCTAGAACAGTCCTCTATTTTTAGAACAGTGCCCAGGTTCCCAAGGGCCACTCTGGCTTATTTGCATTCCCTGCATTCATTACCTCCTGCTCACAGAGACAGTGATGCGCACTTTACTACGGGACACAGCTCAGAGAACACACCGAGTTCTCGGGATTTGGGCACCACCATACACGCATACTGCAAACCCCCCACGTGTGTGGTGTGAAATAGGGCTTCTGTGCCGAGCTGGGTGTTTTCCATGGGTGATCTCCTTCACTCCTTGACAACCGTATGAAGCAGGCCCTAACTGACAGATGCCGCGGGCCAAGGAGATGCCCTGGGGTCGGGAGCTCGAAGGTGCTGGACCCGGGACACAGCCTGAAGAGCGGCTCCTCCTAGAAATGCTGGGTGGGGGGATGTTCCCAGGGACTTTGGGGCTATGATCCAAAGACCTTTGGGCTATGAATGTATCCAGAATCCAGAACCAGAAAGATGCTCCCAAACAGCCTGAAGGGAAGTCCGTACGGATGTGTCTCCCCAGGTCACACTCCTGGGTGTGAGCCCTCACACCCGTTCAGATGAAAGGGGCCATAGTGAGCGTGTCCAATAGCATGGCTTGTGAATACTGGCATCCCGCGCACAGTTCTCGAAGAGTCCAAGATGAGCGTTGGAACAGGACTGTCTCTAATGGGCTAGGGTGGCAGGACCTTGGTGTCCTGCCTGGGTCTGGAAGCTTGGGCATGAGGCACACCTCGATTCTGGGGTCCCCCTGCATCTGCGGCACAAACAAGCAACCTCATAGGCTGCAGAGCCTCACGAGTCCCACGTCCAGGTGACATACAAGACCTGGTGGCCTTGGTGAGGCTGTGGGGACAAGGGGGTGACCAGCGGAGCGGGGGTTGGGAACCAAGCATGAAACCACACCCTCAGCTGGGCTTGGGGCCAACAGAGGAGCCCCCGTCCCCATCACCAGATGCCTTGCTCCTGTAAACTGATAAACTCCAGGCTTGGGAGCCTCTTGGGGACAGAAGGTGGGTCTGCCAGGCTGGAGAGAAACCGTCTCAGGGAATCCCCAAAGGTCCCATTCCATTCAGGAAGGAAAGGGTTTTACTTTCAGTTTTGCTCTTACTGTTTTTCTGGTGTTTCTGGGAAACCACTGGGAAGTTCTCGTTTATTTTGCTCAAAACACATCCTGATGGACGAGCTCACGTGAGACACAAACACCCTCCTCCCTGCAGGGTCTCCAGGCCCTTATGGGCCCCCCCCCCTGCGCCCACACAGCCCACCGCTATGTCTGGGCGGACTGTCCTGCCCTCCCTCCCCTGTAGTTCAAGGGCTGCCTGGCCGGTTCCACACGCCCCAACTGCACTGGAGCAACCCCCAGACTCCGGGGCAGGAGAGGCAGGCTTCCTCTCAATGCCCCCTCCCCTCCACGCTGCTGGGAGCACCCCTGAAGGGGTCCCAGGAAAGCCCCCACCTGAGCCAGCCTGAGCCAGCTGCTTACATGTTCCCACAGCACGAGTGAGCTCAAGACAGAGACTCTCCCCATGACTCAGGGCCTCCCTCACAACCCTCCGGGGCCAGTTCTCTCCCTCGGCACCTAAATCCCAAAGCTTTCTAACCAGGTTCACCAGACAGATTGGATCAAAGCGCCCCCCTTTTCTCGCCTCGAATGGGTGGGACTGGGAGCCCCACCATCCATCCCGTGCCCCCCCTGCCCTGCGGGAGGGGGCCATGTGCCAGATCCATCAAGGTTTTAAACGGATGTACCTTCAGACCAAGCTATTCCACTATGAAAGCTTCTGACATCCCGACAGAAAGATACGGATTCACTCCACAAAGAGGACCGCGGAGTCTTCATAAAAAGCTGAAGCCACCTATAGGCTGACAGGCCAGGAAGGAAGCCGTCTAACAAACTGCGCACAGCAGCCAGAACAGCCGAGACCCCTCCTCTCCGAGACGCACAGCGCAAGGGAAAGAGCCAAGCGCAGCGCGCACAGCTTCTAGACATCACCCTTGCTCCCCGCTCGGGGGCCCACCTTCCTCGGCCTCAAAGCTGGCAAGGTCACATCTCTGACCAGTCATCACCTCTCCCCCTCTGACCACACCTGGGAAAAGCCGTCCACCGTTAAGGACTCATGTGATGTCACTGGGACACTCTCAATCACATCTGCACCGTCCCTTTCTCCTCGTCCCCTGTTCGCATGTCCCGGGGATTAGGGTGGGAACATCTTTACACCTTAACCATGACTCTGCCAACCACAAAAGTACACCCTGCAGACTGCTCGTGGCCGTGCACATGGTCCTCCTCATTCCCTTCTCTGGGTGCACCCTGGATCTCTTGTGAGGACGGACCGGGGTCTACTCCACCAGGCCCTTCTGTTGGAAAATAAATGGAATTTTCTCTTGAGTCCATCTTAAGATAAGCTCAGTGGAATCCCAAACACATCTTGGAATAGGTATCAGTGACTGATCATACAGCTGAAATAAGTATTTTTAGCAAGCAGCAAATTCTACATTGGCTCCCTGACCCACGGAATAAAGGTTTTCTGGGTAGATAAAGGAGACGTCAACCAAAAATAAAGCAAGTGCTCAGGGGAATCCTAGAT